TAAATTCTCATCCGATTCTGCAAGACAGAGGGTCTTTTAAAAGAAAGTATTACGGTTGGCCTACATATTTCAAATTGTAAAATTTACTAAAGTTTATAGATGTATCAAAACACTTTTCTTTCTTTTTCTTTAACCCCCATTACCCACAGCATACATGCCACTTTCATGACGGGGCCTTTTTGCAAGTCAAAGTGCATTCAGTTAGAGTCACCCATGTCATGGCCCTCTGCATGCCTGGTGCTATGCTTTGTGTTCTATTCTCATTATTTTTAACAAGAAGTCAGAATACTATTTGTCCATGGGGCCATACAAATGCCCCAGTACTTTAGGTACATCATATAGTTACTTTAGGCTTATCACACATTCTAAAGTAGAAAGAAATTTTAGAGCATTTCTATTTCTAAGACTCATCTAAGAACCTCTAGTGAGCCTGTCTTTTTGTCACTTGCTGACAATCTTTCAAAGAATGTCAATGAAAACACATTTTAACAAAGCTAAAATTATACCAGTAGGTTTATTTGTTTTATTTGAATTTGTTCAGCAGCTTTCAAGACAAATCAGAAATTTCTTGTGAGTTCATTTAGCTGCCCTAAGGGAGACATGAAAAAACTATTCCTTGGATAAAGCATGGTGTTTTAAAACAACAAATTTGTCAGGATGGTAGAGATTTAAATTTGGCAAGGTCCCATTTTGATTTTACCTATTAATTTTTATTTTCCAAATAAACTCTTTTTCTTTGTTTAGGCTTTGATGTCCAATATGGTAGCCACTAACCACATGTGGCTTTTAAATTTAAACTTAATTAAAAATTCATTTCTTTAGTAGCACTAGCCAAATTTCAAGCACTCAATAGCCACATGTGGCTACTGTATTGGATATCACAGATTATAGAACTTCTGTCTTTACAGAAAATGCTATTAGACAGTGTTACTTTAGAGAAAGTATCCACTCTTCTACACAATTTACTATTTAAGCCTCACATTTTTATAAATAGTAAAATGTTTTAAAACATCCCCCAAAATCTATGCAGGTATATCTCCTCTACGCTATACTTAGTGCTTATTCTTCCCAATTCTGCCCCTGTGATATTTATATCAACATCCTCATATTATGATTTAAAAAATTAAAGGTCAGAAAGATTAAGCTGGAGGTAGTATATGTAGTAAGAGGTAAGCACAAAAT